CAGTTACTCATATTTTGTATTTTAAATACGTAACGGCGGTACATGTATTCCGTTACTCCCCAACACTGAATACAACACATGAGTACTGTGTAAATGATGCTTCAAGAAGAGGGAACTGAAGGGCATGTGGCCTCGTCCCACAAACTTTACAAGAGATTGGCTGAGACAGTCTTTAGTAACACACTATGTTTATTAAAGAACTAAGCGTTGAATTAAAGAACAGCAGTTGCCTGATGGAGAACTGGCTTAACATGAACCTAGTTACTGAATCAAAATCATTATCCTGCAGCATCTAAACCTGGACTTAAACAACTTCGGTGAATCTTTGGATGAGGAGCTGTTGGAGCTGGTTAAAGTGTGTGAGCGTCTGGTAAAGCTGAGCATCTGCGCATTCTTGGAAATCCGAACTGTTGCGAGGTTGCTAGACATGAGTTTAACTCAAAGCTCCCTCAAGGAGATCCACGTAAGACGAAACAGCAATGTCAACCTGACTCTGCACACACAATAAAGATACACACACCCTCACAATAATGCTTTTAAACATTTTATCTTGCAGGTAAGAATCTGCAGCTTTAATGAAGGTGCTGGAGAGGAGGAAGAAGCACTGGAGGAAATGCTGTCTTCCTACCTTCATCTTCCTCCTGATCTGTGTTTTTCTGCCATAATTTACCCGTTTGAATAATACTTTCACGGGGATTTGTCGACCAGCAAAGGACAAACAAAAAAACAAATAAATGAGTGAAGCATAAAAAGCATCTTTTTTGCAAATAATCAAACCAAAAGAGTAATAACTGGCCATTTTTATGTGGATTGCCCGCCCACTAGCTGTCTCTCACTCCCTCTCTCTGTCTCTTGCCTGTTTTTCTCAGGGGTGGTGTGAGTGGCAGTGGGGGGTGTGCATGGAAACACTGACCTAGTTTCTCTGAGAAGGGTGATAAGTGAAGCAGAGTGTGCACGTGTGTGCATGCATGCATATGTGTGTGTGTGGGAGAGCTCTATTTAAGGGAACAGGAGTTAAGAGGCAACAGCAACATACCAAACTCTTGCTTACACAGCTCACGCCTAACTGCACATGAAGTCAAGTGTATGGTGGGCTTTCAGTCATATTCGTTTAATTTTTTTTATGTCATTATCATTATCTGTGCCACGACACCTCACCTCATTATTATTACGTATAGAGCTCGTACATTAAAAAAAAGGATGTGGGCTAATGTAACATTTATCTAAATGCTGGGGTATTTTAATTTGGTTACTTGAAACATCAAGCACCATATCTGTATTCATCTGTACAGTAATGTTAATTCGCCCCTCTTTCAGATTCTTATATGATATTCAATCATTTATTCAGTAAAGGCTTACAGTCGGATGATATAAATTTATCTCCGCACATCAGGCAAACAGCATCCTGCACCTCATTGGTCGCCAAAAGCCTCCGCCCCCTGTAGATCACGTGACCAAATAATGACATTAGGCAGCGCGGCGGATCAGCCGATGGTCTGTCCAATCACCTGACCGCTGTTTGAATATTGATGCTCTGCCTGCCGCCACATTGCTACGCCTTTCCCATGCTGCTGCTGTTGTTGTTGTCTGATATTGTTTGAGTGGGACCGTCGTAAAATCGAGAAAGAAAAATGTCCTCGCTGCTTAAGCCGTTTTCGGTGTGTGAGGGGCCTTGCGAGAGCTGCGGTGTGAGGAGAGGATGCCAGAGCTCCGCTCCGGATCGGCAGCCTCCATCCCATCGTTCGGCGGCGGGCCTGGGCGCTGTGCCTGCACACCAGCGGTCGTATGCGGCGAGGAGGAACCTTGCGGCTGCAGCGATCGGAGGGAGGAAAATAACACATCCCGGAAAGGCCATCCTCGCAGGTTGATTTTACGACCTATTCAGCCGGCAGATCCCCACCCCTGCTCTCATAGCCGCTTAGTGCTTGCCACACACACAACCAGCGCAGACTAATCTCAATCTGTCGCCCATTAAGGCTGACCATGCAGAACTGGGTCAAAGCTGCAGTGATGCTACTGCATGATGTAGCTGCACGTTAGTGTTAGTCTTTAATGCACCTCTGAGGTAATCTAAAAATGATGTAAGGGATGCTGAAGGGATTGTGCTGCAGAACCATCTCATCTTTTTGTTTTTTTCTTTCATGCGGAAGTAGAAAATGCTGGCAAGGTCTCTCCCCCCCTTTGCTGCCCTAAGAACATTCAAGAAGGGTTGTGCACAGTGAGTCAACAAACACCAACAGCAGCGATTCTCCCTCTCCCCTTGTCTCCTCATTCAGGTGGCATCGCAGGAGGAATCGAGATCTGTATCACCTTCCCTACAGAGTATGTCAAGACCCAGCTGCAGCTAGATGCAAGAGTAAACCCGCCACGATACAGAGGGATTGGTAGGTCACTGGGACATACATGTGAAGTTGGTCTTGTGCTGGTCTACTCACTCGTGGGCATGCTGTGTACTTGCAGGTGACTGCGTGAAGCTGACTGTGCAAGACCATGGGCTCAGGGGGTTGTATAGAGGTCTCAGCTCCCTGCTGTATGGCTCAATACCCAAGTCTGCAGTCAGGTGAAGATGCATGCATCATGTAGAGTAGTTTAATATAAAGATATTATGTGAGAACCCCCCCCCCCCACACACACACTCTCGAAACAATTCAAAAGGAAAAAAAGAAGCGCAGCTGTGATAGGGAAGCACTTGGGCCTCTTGCATCCTTTTGTTTTGCAGAATCACAGATGAGCTGGGTTGCAAACTTGAAACTGATGAAGCAGCTGACTGATGTTGAATCAGTGACACGGCATTTCTTAGTACTTAGCTAACCAGCATCTATGTTTTTCAAACTGTTTGGGCTTTTAAACATTAAAAAAGACCATAAAGAAAAAGCAGCAGTGTACACTCACTCTAGATAACGTTTTTGTCCTGTCTCACCCCCAACCAGTAGCAGCAGATGACTGCCTCTCTCTAATCCTGGTTCTGCCGGATGTTTATTCCTGTTAAAAGAAAGTTTTTCCTTCCCACTGTCACCAAAGTGGTTGCTCACAGGGATCACTGGATAGTTGGGCTTTTCTCTGTAACTGTAGGGTCTTTACCTTACAATATGAAGTGCCTTGAGGCAGCTGTTGTTGTGATTTGGCACTGTATAAATGAAATGGAATTGAACTGAATAGATCATTCAGAGCATTTCAAACCAGCTGCTTTATTTGTTTTGATAACTTTTGCCAGTATTGCTCTGGTGGTGACCTGGTCAATCAACCAAACTTTCTTACAGGTTTGGCATGTTTGAAATGCTCAGCAATCCAATGCGAGATGCAACAGGGCGGCTAGACAACACACGGAGCCTCTTGTGTGGTTTGGGCGCCGGAATAACAGAGGCAATAATAGTGGTCTGCCCCATGGAGACGCTCAAGGTTCGTTGGAGGAGCGTGTAGTCACACTTTTGGGTCTGTCGTGTCATCAGTGAGTAAACTGGTCTTATGAAATCTTGCAGGTGAAGCTGATCCACGACCAGTGCTCCCTCCGGCCTCGCTACAGAGGCTTCTTTCACGGAGTCAGCGAAATTATCAGAGAGCAAGGTAAGAGAAGGAAATCTAAAGCAGCCGAGTGGTTGTAACTACAGATGTGCACGTGTGCTTGCGTTTCACAATGAGTCAAACTGTTTTAACCCGTTCAGGCGTGAGGGGGACGTATCAAGGCCTAACAGCAACCGTGCTTAAACAAGGAACGAATCAGGCCATCCGATTTTATGTCATGAACGCACTTCGCAATTGGTACAAAGGTGAGAAAGTGTGCTTTGCTCCAATATCATGCAAGCGTACTGCCTGTTAGAGCAGTCACAGTTGACTGATGGGTTTCCCTCCCCACGGTTTGGAAATTAATGCATGTTTGGATTTGACCTCTAAGGGGATGATTCCAGGAAAGAAATGCACCCAATCGTCACAGCCATGTTTGGAGCAACAGCGGGAGCGGCTAGCGTTTTTGGAAATACACCTCTGGATGTCGTTAAGACCAGGATGCAGGTAGGGAAGCATAAGTTCTAATGATTTTCTTGCTGTCGTCTGGTTATCTTTTTGAAAACCATTGTTTTACTGGTTTGTAGGGTTTGGAGGCTCACCGCTACAAAAACACAATGGACTGTGCCTTCCAGATCTTGAAACAAGAAGGACCACAAGCGTCAGTAACTGATATCCTCCTTTTTTTAGCTTGGTCTTAGATGTAAGATTTAAAAAAAAAAAAAAAACTAACCTCATCTCGCCTTGTTGTCGTCCTCCTGCAGGTTTTATAAAGGGACAGTTCCCAGGCTTGGCCGCGTGTGCTTGGATGTGGCCATAGTCTTCGTCATCTATGAGGAGGTGGTCAAACTGCTTAACAACGTGTGGAAGACCCAGTAGATGGGAGAGGTGGGGGGAGCACAGACCAGTGCCTCATGCTACGCACAACTGAACACCTCTAATCTCGTTCTTGATCAATTTGATGGCCACAAGCAGATGACATGTCGTCTCAACCAGTCTCCACACTGTTACACATTCTAAATAAATTAAAAGACTCTAAACAAAGTGACTGAAAAGGAAAAGCAGAGTCGTTAGTTGCACTAAATAGTTCAATGTCAGACTAACAGGAGGTGATTTGATTTTGAAGGGCGAGACGAGGGAGACGAGGGGAGGACGTGTTCGGTGCACCTGACCTAACTTGTAAGCTCGGTTTTGTAAATCTCATCATCACAAACATGATATAACAAATGGAAACGTTTCGACTCAAAGGTCCAAATTTTGAAGGGGAACAAAAGGGAAGAAAACACACGACCACTGTTTTAGCTTTTGATGACTGTTGTTACCTTACATGTTGTAGAGTGAACACTTTGTAACGAAACCATTAATGTGTCTTTTGACTCACTGAGTACTTACTATACTGAGCAGAGAACGACAGAGAGGGCGATGCTTTAACACATCTGTGCAGTGTTTCAACACATCATAGCGTTGCCGTTGCTTACCCTGCTGTGCTTGTGGCGTCATCGCACTGTAACATTCACAGGATATCTTTTCTGTGTCTCTATGATGAACTCTGAGATGAACATTTTACAGCCGCTGCTTTGTACAAAGTATTGCTGCATGTATGTTAATGTGGCATCGGTCTAACACACTGACAGTGGCTCGCAGGCTGCTCAAGGCTACACAAACTGGTCTGGAGCCTGTGCCTCTCCAGCAGATCATTTCAGGGTCTCAACCTGTCAGAAGTGATGATTAATCTAGTGATGTAGGAAACAAATCTGTATGTAGCGCAGTCTTTACACGGGGATTTGTTGGGCTTTTGGTTGCTAATCTGGTAAGATTCTTAAAGCTTTGAATTCTCTACAGCAGCACATGAAGGCTTCATTTGGGAATATTTGATCCATATTGCTTTATTCTGACCCTCAGTCTGAACCATTTTCAAGCAAATGCAGGCGTGAAGCATGGGGGGAAGAAAGGTTGTGCCAAGCTGAAAATAAGCCATATTACTTTAATAATCTTCAATCTTCAGCTGTTCTGCTTATGGATTCACTCATCAAAAGGACTAATTGGACATTAAGCAATTTTAAGATTCTTTAACTGAAGGTCAAGCATCTCAAAAGCTAAAGATTGCTAAAATTGCTAATTAGCTCCTCTAATTTACTTCAGTACTACAAGTTTTCAAAATATTGGCGCAATTTATAATTTTTAATCTGCAACATGTAGTAAACAGATTTTTTTCCCCCCATATCACATCTACAGCACCTGAAACTTCCAC